TTTTCTCTCTCACACTAGTCTACGTATTGCTATTCTCCTCTGTCCAGAGGGATCTGGCCTGCCTATCTCAAGAGTTAGGCCGTGCTGCTGGCTCTGGCTGCAGCACAGCAGGGAAGCTACAAGAAGAATCAATTGAGGAAACCCAGATACTTTCACCCATTTCTACCACAGAGGTTTTAAAACCTCATTGTACTATCATGATGGTATTCAACCTTAATGGCATCCGCTCACAAGGAGGGCTCTTCCTTAGTGTCACTACTTTGAGAAGCCAAAAGAAAGGTCAACTCCTAACCCAATGGAATGGCCTCACAAAAACGTCCTTTTGTTCCATATTCTTCTCCTACTCTATCTATAAGCTAACCACAGGCCAGACATGGTGACTTATACCTGTAATTCCAGCACTTTGGGAAGATGAGGCAGGAGGCTTACTGAAAGCCAGGAATTCGAGACCAGCCTGGGCAACTCTACAATAAAATAAAAGAAATTAAATGGGTGTTGTAGCGTGTACCTGTATTCCCAGAAAGTTCAGGAAACTGAGGCAGGAGGATCACTTGAGCCCAGGAATTCAAAGCTACAGTGAGCTACAATCGTGTCCATGCACTCCATCATGGGTGTCAGAGCAAGATCCTGTTTCTAAATAAATAAATAAAAGCCAACCGTGGGGCTTAAGGGGCTAGACATAAATATGTTTTAGTCATCTAAAATAAATAGCTATTTTGCTTAGTACTGAGATTCATAATATGTACTCTCATGTGTTTCAATGACAGCAAAAAAAGAAAAAAGTGAAACTTGAGTATCTTACCATAGAGGACTTTTTTTGGTTCTTGGTTGAGGTCCCCAAGACCAGTCTCAGATTGACCCCCAGGACTCAGCACATCATCTTACTCATGGCTGTGATTTTTTTTTTTAGTTGGAGCCTCACTCTGTCACTCAGACTGGAGTGCAGTGGCATGATCATGACTCACCACAACCTCAAACTCCTGGGCTCAGGCTGTCTTTCCACTTCAGCCTCCTGAGTAGCTGGGACTATAGGCATGCACAATGCCCAGCTAATTTTGTTGATTTTTTTTTTTTTTTTTTGGTAGAGATGAGGTTTTACTATGTTGTCCATACTGGTCTTGAACTCCTGGGCTCAAGTGATTCTTCCACCTTGGCCTCCCCCAATTCTGGGATTACAGGTGTGAGCCTCAAAACCCAGCCACTCATGGCTATGATTTATTACAGCAAAAGGACACAAAGCAAAATCAGCAAAGGGAAAAGGTGCATGAGATAAAGGTTTTTAGGAAACCAGGTACCAGCTTCCAAGTGTTCTGTCCCAGTGGAGTCACACAAGATGTCCTTAATTCCTCTAGCAATGATCTATGACAACACATGTAAAATGCTGTCTACCAGGGAAGCCCATTACAGACTCAGTGTCCAGGGTTTTTATTAGGGGCTGGTCAGGGAGGTATCCTCTGCCTAACATGTGCCAAAATTCCAGACTTCCAGAAGGAAAGCAGGCATTAAACATAAAGCTCCTTATTTGTATAGGCGGTGTAAATACCATGAGTCCCCCCTTACCAAGGAATGGTAGGAACCCTCCTCAAATCTAAATCCCCTGGTGCCAGCCAGGGGCCACCCTTGCAGGAAGGTCTTTCTGAGAATGGCAGCCTCAGGCCTGCTAAGTAAGTCTTTTCTGTACAGAACCTTAGGCCAGAAGGAATGTAGTCACATTCCTGTTTGTCTTCACAGTTTACACATGAGGAAATTGAGACCCCAAAACATGGCATGGCTTGCCCAAGGTTCTGGAACTCTATAGTGGTCCAGCCAGGACAGAGCCCAGGTGTTCTATTCCATAACCAGGGCTTTTGTAACTGTACTTTACAGAGGGCTGTGATAGTCACAACACTTAAGTTCATTAGGAAATACTTAATATCCTTAAGTCACAGCTAGGAGTAAAATGCATTAAATACTTTGAAGAATTGAGCTTTAGGCCAAGTGTAATGGCTCACGCCTGTAATCTCAACATTTGGTAGGCAGAGGTAAGAGGATTGCCTGAGTCCAGGGGTTCAAGACCAGCCTGAGCAACATGGCGAGACCTTGTCTCTACAATAAATCAAAAAATTAGCTGGGTGTGGTGGCGCACGCTTGTAGTTCCAGCTACTTGAAAGTCTGAGGCTGAAGGATCACCTGAGCCCAACAGGTCGAGGCTGTGGTGGCCATGAGTGTGTCACTGCACTCTAGCCTGGGTGATAGAGTGAGACTGTGGCTCAAAAAAAAAAAAAGAAAGAAAGACTTAATATCTTCAAGTCACAGTTAAGAGTAAAATGCATTAAACACTTTGACTAAAGAATTGATCTTTAGGCCAGGCACAGTGACTCAAGCCTGTAATTCTAGCAGTTTGGGAGACTGAAGCGAGAGGATTGCCTGAACCCACAGGTTCAGGAACAGCCTGGGCAACATGGTGAGACCTCGTCTCTGCAATAAATCAAAAAATTAGCCAGGCATGATAGCGTGCGCCTGTAGCTCTAGCTACTTGGAAGGCTGAGGTGGAAGGATCGCCAGAGCCCAGCAGGTCAATGCTGGGGTGGCCATGAGTGTGCCACTGTATTCCAGCCTGGGCAATAGAGTGAAATTCCAACTAAAAACAAAAAAACAAAAAAAAAAAACGGAGCTTTCTGTGTCATGGAGCTATCTAAACTTAGGATCCATCAGTTTTACATATGATTATATTTATAAAGTGACAACCCATTATTACATAAAATTCAATAGCCTACTCCATGCACTTGAGAAATGCATCAGGGCTCAACATTTATATGAAAACAAAAATCCAGCTTTGTTAAAAAAAAAAAATAGAAAAAGACTGGAAGGGGAATTCAACAAATATTCATAGTGATAGCCTCTGGATGGTAGGACAACAGACGAATCATTTTTTCTTCTGGCCTTTTCCCTAAGTTTTCTATGATAAGTATGTTGTATTTTTTGTTGTTGTTGTTGTTGTTGTTGTTTTTGAGTTGGAGTCTCACTCTGTTGCCCAGACTGGAGTGCAGTGGCCACTCCCGGTCACCGCAGCCTCGACCTGCTGGGCTCCAGCGATCCTTCCGCCTCAGCCTTCCAAGTAGCCAGAATTACAGGTGTGCGCTACCATGCCTGGCTGATTTTTTGATTTTATTGTAGAGATGAGGTCTCGCCTGCCCAGGCGGGTCTCGAACCTGCGGGCTCAGGCAATCCACTCACCTCTGCCTCCCAAAGGCGCGGGATTACAGGCTGAGCCACCAAGCCCGGCTTATATGTTGTATTTTTAAATGGAAAAAAATATTTTAAAAACAAACTCTAAAAGAGATTTTAGAGCCTCAACCTACTAGACTCAGGTAATCCTTTCACCTCAGCCTCCCAAGTAGCTGGGACCATAGGAACACACCACCATACCCAGCTAATTTTTACATTTTTTTTGCAGAGAGGTTTCACTATGTTGCTTCGGCTGGTCTCAAACTCCTGGGTTCAAGCAATTCTCTTGCCTTGGCCTCCCAAAGTATTGGGAATACAGGTGTAATCCACTGCACCCGGTCTAAGATGCACACTTTTAAGAGTAATACATACACACTGTAAGAAACTCAAATAGTATAAAGGATGGAAACAATTATAACCTTCAAGGTAACCAGTATTGTAATTTTCTTGTGGTTGTGTAGTGTTCTAGTACATGGATACCCTGTAATTTAACCAGATTGCTCCTGACAGATACTGAATCTGAGTTCATATTTTCTATCACAATGTTGCAGTGAATATTCCTCTACCACATCTTCATGCATATGGAATTGCTCTGTCATTTTATTTTATTTTATTTTTTGAGTTGGAGTCTCATTCTGTCACCCAGGCTGGAGTGCAGTGGCATACTCAAGGACACTCCAGCATCGACCTGCTGGGCTCAGGCAATCCTTCCCCTCAGCCTGACAAGTAGTGGAACTATAGGCACGTGCCACCATGCCTGGCTAATTTTTGTAGAGATGAGGTCTCACCAAGTTTCCCAGGCTGTTCTTGAACCCGTGTGCTCAGGCAATCCCCTCACCTCGGCCTCCCAAAGTGCTGGGATTCAGGCTTGAGCCACTGCACTGAGACCCTTTGTCATTTTAAATACTGCACATTTAAAATTTCATTACAAACTTCCAAACTGCCCCTTTAAGAGGCTGAACTATTTTTATTCCCTCCAATAACTGAACCTACTTTCAGAGGGGCTATTTTCTAGCTTGATAATACTGATTGAGGCAGCTATGGTCAGAGGGATGCAGAATAGTGGTGAGCTGTGATTGTACCATTCCACTCCAGGCTGGGCAACAGAGCAAGACCCTATCTGTAAAAGAAAAGTGTGCATCTTGTGTTCTTTTTAAAAAATATTAAAGTTGTCTTAACTTAGGTAAAACAGAACTAACCCAGAGTAGGGGGCATATGGTGTTTTGTCAGACTTTTATATAGGTAGAGAGTGGAGAACTTTTAAAAGTTCTTTGTAAAGTGACATCTGTTGGATTAGAAATATAAGAAGCAAATATATCAGAGAATGTTAAATTTCTTGGGTATGACAATGGTAACGTGATTACATAGGGAAATGTTCTCATTCTTAGTAGATATGTACTGAGATATTTAGGACTGAAGTGTCATGTCAGCAGCTTACTTCCAAAATGTTCAGCAAAAGGGTGTGTGTGTGTGTGTGTGTGTGTGTGTGTGTGTGTGTGTATTGAGAGAAAAAGCAAAGTGGCAAAGTTGTTGAATATGGGGGAAGGGTATATGAATGTTTGTCTCACTAGCCTTTTGTCTGTAAGATTGAAATTTTTTTTAACAAAATGTTGGAAATGAAAGATTTTTAAAAGAAGCTAAAAACTTGTTTAAAAATAAAGGCTTTACAGCTTCAGGATGTTGAAGGTTTGAACTCATTGAAACTTCATGTAGGATGCTGGTTAGCTGGACTCTTTCAGAACTTGGAAGTACTGAGTAGTAACCTCTTCCTTTCCCATGTTTTTACTCTCCAGTTCCGAGAGGAACCTGTGCAATGGCTCGTTGCCATGTGAGATCAGGAGGCCAGCCAGCCTCATTGGCCAGGAGGCGATTCTGGTCTTATTTCTCCTACTCTTGTTGGTCTGGTTCCTGAATCGAGAATTTGAAGTCAGCTACCGCCTTCACTACCATGGGGATGTGGAAGCGGATCTTCACCGCACCAAGATCCAGAGCATGAGGGATCAGGCTGACTGGCTGCTGCGAAACATCATCCCCTACCACGTGGCTGAGCAGCTGAAGGTGTCACAGACCTACTCCAAGAACCACGACAGTGGAGGAGTGATCTTTGCCAGCATCGTCAACTTCAGTGAGTTCTATGAGGAGAACTATGAAGGAGGCAAGGAGTGCTACCGGGTCCTCAACGAGCTCATCGGGGACTTTGATGAGCTTCTGAGCAAGCCAGACTACAGTAGCATCGAGAAGATCAAGACGATCGGAGCCACGTACATGGCGGCATCAGGGCTGAACACCTCCCAGGCCCAGGACAGCAGCCACCCGCAGGAGCACCTGCAGATCCTATTTGAGTTTGCAAAGGAAATGATGCGTGTGGTGGATGACTTCAACAACAACATGCTGTGGTTCAACTTCAAGCTCAGAGTCGGCTTCAACCATGGGCCCCTCACGGCCGGAGTCATTGGCACCACCAAGCTGCTCTATGACATTTGGGGGGACACTGTCAACATCGCCAGCAGGATGGACACCACTGGTGTTGAGTGCCGCATCCAGGTGAGTGAGGAGAGCTACCGTGTCTTGAGCAAAATGGGCTACGACTTTGACTACAGAGGGACCGTGAATGTCAAGGGGAAGGGCCAGATGAAGACCTACCTTTATCCAAAGTGCACGGACAACGGGGTTGTCCCACAGCACCAGCTGTCCATCTCCCCAGATATCCGCGTCCAGGTGGATGGCAGCATCGGACGGTCTCCCACGGATGAGATTGCCAACCTGGTGCCTTCTGTCCAGTATTCAGACAAGATGTCTCTGGGCTCTGATAACAGCATGCAAGCCAAGGACGCACACCTGTCTCCTAAGAGACCCTGGAAAGAACCCATCAAAGCTGAAGAAAAAGGTCGATTTGGCAAAGCCATAGAGAAAAATGACTGTGAAGAAATGGGAATGGAAGAAGCCAATGAACTAACCAAGCTCAATGTTTCAAAGAGTGTGTGAGGCAGCCCCTAGAGCTGCCCGAGGTGCTCTGTTCGTCGAAATACAATAATATTTGTAGCTGGCTGTTGTGCTTTCTAAGCTCCACAGTCTCCGTCCCTGGATGTGGTGTTATGTGGTCATTTCAGCCCTAACTTCTGTGTGGATCACAGTTATTCAGGGTTCATTTGCATCCATTCTTTCCTTTTGCTCCCTTCCCTGGAAATCTCCCTACCTTGGGGTAATCCATTCAGCACGTGGAGGAGAATAAGTGCCTTCAGGGGTGAACCTTGGCCTCAAGTCTAGGGACAGAGGCCACCAGTGGAAATCATAGCCTTGGGTATTATTTGACTTTTAGAACAAAAGCTGTGGTCAAGATATCACTTTTGTTGCTTTTTCTCATGAGACACCTTTTTTTTTTTGGCAGGGGAGCTAATACAATATATTTTAGCTGTATTTTTTTTCCGCGTATGTCATAGTGTTTCCCACTTACCTGACCTTTCTCCGTAAGCACATGCATGCACACACACTTGCGTTTAAGAATTCTGATATAAAGTGCCAGTAATTCACCGAGAGGGGGTGTGAAAGGGGGTGTCAGCCATGACGACAGCCCCACGAGTCCCTCCTCACCCACGCTTTCCCAGCCCAGCCCTGTGGGCTGTGGGTGGGCCCACTCTCTACACCTACTCCTTACACCCGCTCCCCACACTGAGTGGCTTCAGGGGCGCCGCCCTGTACAGGCTGAGATAGCAAATTCTAGCTGGGCACAAAGTTAGTAAGCCCAGGCCTCAGGTATCTCAGAGCTGTTCTTCATCCTGATCTTCCATTGAAGGGTCTTCCTGTTGAGAGTGATGGGGATTGTCTTGGAAACTGACTCGTCTGAAGGTGAAACTCCAGATAAATGTCTGAGGGTTGCATTTATTTATTTATTTATTTACCAGGAAAAAAGTGTGTTTGGGGGAGGGAGCATTGAGTCATGTGGATGGAGGGAGGTGACTGCAGGGGCAGTTCACAGGACAGTGACAAGCTGTCCCTTAGTGTTTTGACCACCTGGGCCACCTCCCTCTGAGACGGGCTGGACAAGATCCTGAGCCATACCCAGTATGATTTGAGGGTTGGGGAAGCTCTCCAGCAGCCCCTGCCACCCACAGGGTCCCTTCCTGTGGAATCCAGATCAAAACCTGGCTTGGTACCAAGTGGGTCTGGGCAGGCAGCGCCGGCGTTGTCTTGGCTTCCACAAATTCAAGACATTTCTCCATTCTCTTCTACTCTTGGACTGCACAGGGCCTGTCTGTGGTGGGATTTATTCTTGGGAGCTATTCCAGCCTCTTGAGATGGAGTTCTTACACTGTACCTAGGGCCAGAATCATCTGTACACAATGAGGTGTTTGGCCGAGGGGAGATTTAAAAACCTAAGGAAAATCACTTGTGCGCTCTTGGTTGCTGATCCTGTTTGTAATTGTGTTTTGCCGCATTGAGTGTGAAGTTTACATCTGTGTGAACTCACTAAATTTGTACTGTCAAAGTTGTAGCTATTCTTTTAGGTGGCACTGGTGCACAGCTCCTGAGACATTGAGGGTGCGCTCCTTATCTGTTGGTCTTCCTCGATACGTATTTGCTTTTTGCTGGTAAATCTCACTGTCTGATTTTCATATCCGCATTAAGTCCCATCATCACACCTCCTACACAAAGACGTACAGATCTGCTACTTCCAGCATAACGCAACACTGAGTCTGATCCACCACCTCTCCAAGGGGATGTGCCTGGCATGGCACCCAGCCATGCAGCCAGAACCAGGATCCCGACATCTGGGGAATCAAGAGCATTCTCAGTAACTAAGATTTTCCTTCAGGTTTTACTGTCAGTTTGTTGGTCTTCCAATACCGAAGAAAGGATGGTTGTGACAATACCTCTTGCTTCTAAAGAATGTATTCTTAGAAGATACTGCAGGCTTGTTTTCTGAAAAAAACACTACCTGATGCTTTTTCTTGTATGTAAGGATTGTGGGCACATTTAGGGTTTTTCTGCCATCAGTATTAAGGTGTGCATTTGAATGTGGCCCTCTCCTCTGCCTTCCTTCTCTAGGCTGGGTAGCTTTGAGGGACTGGGTGGTTGCTGATATCTTTTCTGTCTTGCTTAAAATGTGCTCTACTGAGTTCATCTCTACACACACTTCTTTCCCATCAAACTCTTTTCCTTCCCTCACCACAAAGGTGTTTGTGATTCTCACCCTGGAAACCCAGGGAGCTGCCAACAGGAGTCTGGTTCAACATCATGCAAATAGGAGCCTCTGGTGAAGGGCAGCTCACCCAGGCAGAGCTTAAAATTGTCTTTAAGAAACACCCTGAGCCTTCCTTAACAACCAGTACAGATGTTCCTTCTGGGTCACAAAGCCCTCGGATCCTCCCCACTTCCCTGCTCCGAAGCATACCTCAGTGCAGAACCACAGACTCTCTACAGTGGAAATGTCGTGTGTCTCCATCTGTTGGCAGCCAACAAGCAGTGCCACACGGGTTTCTCAACAGTAGGCACAAGTGCTATCAATGGGATGGGTTGTTCTTCAGGGTGGCAGTATGTCTTAGGAACTTAGGACAGGAAGCAATACTTCAGAATTGAATGTGTGTAAATAGTTGCTTTGAGTTGCAATTGCTGTTTTCTTCTGAGCTCCAGCTCAGATCAAATTATGTATATACATATATATATGATAAACAAGCACACATAATTTTATCCAGTGCAAACAAATGTAGAGCATCAGTTATGAAACCCTTGAATAGCTTGAGAGTCCCACAGACTGTGCCACACCGGACTCCATCAACTCACTTCACCCACGGGGACTACACCTGCACATTTGCACACGACACGGAGAGCCAAAGGCCACGTGCTTCCTATCACATGAGCTGTAACCATTTGTAGTTTCCAAAGATATGTCTGCATTTGAATTTCTGGATTTTTGAAGTAAACATTTTTGATTGGTTTCAAAAATCACATCATGTCTAGACTCTAAAATTGAATTAGCAAGAACCAACTGTTTGCATTTTTCATATTTTCTTTGATCAGCTCTTTTTAAATTGTTAATTCTAATAATTTCAAAATGCAGTCACTGAAGAAATGAACATTAAAATATTCTAAAATCTCAACATCTGATGCCTGTCCTTATTGAAAAGATCAGAACCACTTCAGAGATGAGGGCAATCCTCCTCGGTGTTCTCTGTGGTTTGTGGCTGAAATAGGAAGATTCGCTTTTACTTCACATCATGATTTCAGAAACAGAGCAACTAAATAACCTTGTTTGTGTATATAATGGACATATTTGCTACAGTTAACTGGTTGAGAAGTATTTATTTTTACATAGAATTTTTTTAAAACTAAAATCAGGTTGCAATACGAGTTTTGCTATTTCCCTATTTCATTAGACCTTTCTAAATAGTTTTTTCCCCAATTTCTTAAGAGAAAGAATTAGCTGAGAAAACAAAGTAGATTTTCTGAAAAGCGGTGTCTCCCTTACAGAGTTTCTGGGATCATGATGGCCACTTTTGGGGGAGGGGGAGTCACAGAGCCACTTCAGAAACTGCTTGAAGTCACAGAGCCTCTTCCCAGAAAACCACACATACGATTTTTGACATATCTTAGGGGTTTGCAGCACCTCCAAATCTGAGGCCAGACTATGGATCAGTCTTCTAAGGGGTAGAGTTTGTACCCCTTAAGGATTTTTCCGAGTGGGTCAAGTATTTATGAGCAACTTCAGCACAAAGATTCTCTTGTAGACTCTGTAGGGAGCTGAAGATGCAGCTTCCATTCCTTGCTCATCGGCTTGCAGGGATGCATCTTCCAGGTAATTCCCTGCCGGAGCCTGGTGCCATGGCTGAGGTTGTTCTTTCCTCCCTGAGATGGTGCTGTAGGGATCCCAGCTCCTTCCCAGGTTAGAGAACATAACAGTCTTTGCTGTATTGAAGGTCTTGTAAGAACTTGGGTATTTCCACTAGAAAAGGCGCTCAGGGACTTAGAGGATTTCTCAGTCAAGAAAAGCAGCCTCTAAATTTTTCAGTAAGCCCCAGAACTAGTCGTGTGTGACTTTTCTTTCATCTGACATCTTGTACACATGGTTGCTGGTCCCTGCTGTGGGGCTCTATCGTTGTGGCCGCCTGGAATCGATCCCCAAAACCAGAAAAATGAAACTAACTGGAGAAAGAGCTAAGTGAGAGGAAGTGATTAAGAAAAAGTACACACTTGCACACTATGGATATGTACACTTAAAGTCTTCCCAAGTGTCTATTTTGATACAGTTTCTTCATAAAGGTGGTTGTTTAAATGACATGACTCCAAAGAGCTGTTACTGGGTATTAGAGTAATTTAAACATGAAGAATTCTCATATTCTTCCTGGGCCTGAAAGTCTGAAGGAGATGTGAATTAGACAACCTGAGTACTTATTGGAGTTTCATTCATCAACAGCAGTAATTCTTCCAAGTTGTTTTTTGTTTGTTTGTTTTGGCTCACAGAGCTTTTGGTGATTTGATGAAAGTTGTGACTCATTTTTCCCAGAAAAAAATGCACATAAAATCAACTCTCTTGATGTTGCATCTAATTTCAGGAGACCATGGATCCAAATAAAGTATCCCTGATCTGCAGTAACCAGAGTAATGATGGCTTTTATTACAACTATCTGTAGATGTGGTTTCCAAGCATTTCTGGATTCTTCATTGGAAACTTGATTCAATGTGTTAATGCTACTCATTTATAATGCTTTTTTTTTTTTTTTTTTTTTGAGTTGGAGTCTCACTCTGTCGCGCAGGCTGGAGTGCGGTGGCACACTCACTGCCACCCCAGCATTGACCTGCTGGGCTCCGGCGATCCTTCCAAGTAGCCGGGACTACAGGCGCGTGCTACCACACCCGGCAAATTTTTTTCATTTATTGTAGAGATGAGGTCTCACCAAGTTGTCCGGGCTGGTCTCAAACCCATGGGCTCAGTCAGTCCACTCGCCTTGGCCTCCCAAAGTGCTGGCATTACAGGATGAGCCACTGAGCCTGGTCATAATGCGTTTTTAGTCAAAATTATATTTTAGAATTTTATGAGTTATCTCAATATATTTGAAGAGCTACTCAAAGAACATTTTAATATAGTTAG